GAAAATATAGAAATGAGTGACTTGAAGGTACATTATAAAAGCGAACTCTAACACTTAAATAAAGCATACCTTTCTCGGCCTTTTGGCTAAGATCAAGTGTAGTATCTGTTCTTATCAGTTTAATATCTGATACGTGAATCATCGATTCACATGATATTAAATTAATTTTTTTAAGGGGAGGTTTCTCTATAGTAGCTTGCTACTGGGATCCTCAAGCGTCGCCCTTGCGCTGCACTATAGCAAAGGCTTGGCGCACCCCACCCCACCAATTCTTAGTTAAATATATTTGTAACTTTTTTGGGTTTTTAGTTAAGGCCTGATGAATATCTTGTTGTTTGAATAAAATTAACAAAATATGGTATATAACTGATTAATTAAGTGTTGTGGTCTTGCAAAGATTGCAAAATAAGGACCAACCTAGAACCCTTGCAAGATTTGTGGAGCCTACCTGACGGAGAAATCCCCAGTAGAAACTGAAGCCAAAGATTTGTTGAACCCCCCAACCGTAAGAGAAATCCCCAATAGAAAACTTCAACTAGATTTGTACAGGCCATCCTTCGGAGGAAAGCTCTCCATAAATTGGCTTTTTCCACTAAAAATGTGGCAACCACACGGTGTTCTTTAGTAAAAGGTGAGAATAGTTCTCTTTGTGCTTTACCACATGGTTGCGTATTCATTAACAGTGTCGATGCTACAGATCTAGCGATTCCACATATCTTATGCTAGATCTTTGAAACTTCTGCCTTTATTCCTTACTCGGTATATGGGATTGAGTTCTTGGCCTCAATAGTTGGGAACAGGTACGATATCCTAATCATACATTGCAAAAGGCCTACCGTGTATAAGACAAACCCATTAAGTGTCCATAATAATGCAACAATTAATGGAACCATTAACATATTAATGTATTATCAATTCTGTTTGACAAAAAGCTTCACAATTCCCATCAGTGGTTAGAGCCTGCGAATGCCGATCCCCTACTACCACAAATTAGGCTAATCTTTATATATTTAAGATGTCTTTCCCAATTTGATTAAGGTTCATCTGTCAAGTACAGTTTCACTAGCTTCAGAACACTGCTTTCCCATTTTGGCCAGCAATACGATGATCATTGCTAAGCAAACCCAAATGCAGAACATTGTCTCATAAATTTTAAATCTTAGACTTAAAATTGTAAAGGGGCCGCGCGAACGCAGGCCCCAACTACCACAAATTATGACGTAGGCTCTCCTACTTGAGGAGACCTTAGAAAAGTGCATCTTTGAAGTGCAATAAAAATCACTTTTCTAGGCCATGGGCCTCCATGATCAGCCATTGACCCCGTCCAGGTAAGTATGTTCTAATGTAGGATTAGGCTGATTTTTTATACTGTCATCTTGTTTTTTTGTTTTCCTCTTGCTCAATGTGGGACTACTGTGTAATCCAAACGAGAGGAAGTTCTTTTAAAGGTAATTCTTTTAATAAGTGTTCAAACAAACCTTCAACCTTCTCTCCGCAAAGTTCTCTTTGCTCCTCCAAATTAAGCATATATTAATACAGCAGCTTTCAACTATAATTTGGGAGATTATATAAAGATGGAAATGATTGAAGCTGTTGAGTGCAATTTCACCCATTTGACATGTTACATGTGGTGTTCTTGCCAGTTGGGCGCAAAATAACAGAAGCAGTTGCCAAGGGTATTCTCTTTTCCAAATATTGCCCATAATAAAAAGTGATTGCATATTGAGAGAAGTATCATGATCATTGTTTTTAGGTTAAACCCCATTTTGGTCCCTCAACTATTACACGGACCCCCGATTTAGTCCCTCAACTCAAAAAATCCCTGATTTGGTCCCTACTGTTTACCATTTTTACCCCAATTTAGTCCCTCCAACCTCCATTAAAGATTCAATGACGTGTCCTGTTAATTAACTGAAGCATGATGATGTGTCAAAATAGAATGACACCTCATATGCACACCTGTAAAAAAGAGATGACATGGCAGTATGATTCGAACTCAAAACTAAAAAAAAAAAAAAAGAGTGGGCCCAACCTCTTGCAAAGCCTGAACCCTTCTCCCCCTTTCTTCCCATTCGAACCTAGAACAACAGAGCTCTCTCAGTTCCTTAGCAAGAATCCACAAAAAAAAAAAAAAGAGAATTTTTTTTTATTTTTCCCAGTTCCTAGTTCCTCATCTTGCCTTACCTTCTTCATCAATCAATTCCTTCATCAATCAATTCTTCATCATCATGAAACAACAAGATCCACAGAAAAAAAAAGAGATTT